GTTGTATTATTATTTTATATCTCTAAGTCTTGATAGACGTCAGAGTTAATCAGTACTTATGTTGATGAGAGATAGTAAATATCTGATTGACTAGTAGAAATGTAATGATATCGAACTTCAATTGAATTTTCAGTCAAAAACTATCTTGGAACTCATGTTCTGTATCTGTGACACATAAAACATTCCATCCGGTAAAAAGCTATATTGCTAGGATTCTCCAAACATCACACCTATATTGAATCCTCAAAATATACATTATTTTTTAAGGATCTAACACACATATGTCAAAGTTACTATCTAGCCATTGAGAATGTCAACGCCCTGTCACTTTTCAAAACAAACTTAAGCCCATTCAAACCAACATATGGGCATCCATTGATAGACCCGGGTCTCAATTGCATAAAAAAAGGAAGACAATTTGTTTTGTTAGATTTCCATTCTAAATTTTGAAATTGTTTGGAGGAGATTTGAGTTAGTCTGAATTGAAAAAAAAAACTTGTGAGAAAGATGAATTGTTGCTATGGATGATTATTGTATAACAGTGTATATAGATGTATATATATCTTTGATACATAATTATACATTATGTATACAGTTATAAAATATTGATACATTATATATATGTGCGGTCATTTAATTGGATTCCTCTTGTTATTCACTTATTTTTAGTATTCTACTTTGGGATAAGGCATTAGTACCCCCTAGGCTATGATCGAAATCTCAGAGACACACCTTAACTAAACTAAGGTCCTAATACCCCCTGAACTTATTTTTTTTTATAATTTTGTACACCTTTTTGGCCTACGTGGCCTCCAAACATCTCCCACGCACCTCACTTAAGTGGAGTCACGGAGTGTGCCACGTAAGCCAAAAGGTGTACAAAATTACACAAAAAATGAGTTTAGGGGGTAATAGGACCTTAGATTAGTTAAAGTGTGTCTCTGGAATTTCGATCATAGTCTAGGGGGTACTTGTGTCTTATCCCATTCTACTTTTTTATTATTTAGCTCAAGGGTCAGCCCAAGCCACATTGCTCCAGACCTATGGGCCAACAAACTTACTCGGGCCTAATTAAACTTTCTATATTACTATATATAATAAGTGGGAATATCTACTACTTAGCACATGACAAGTGTTGGATGATATGTGCTTCATAGTGTTGTACATTCTTCTTTTATGGTTGTACCTTTAAAATTTATATTATTGGACAATTTAACACCATTAATTACCTACTACTTTATTAGCCAAAAAGTTTGACCTCATTTGGACCCTATTTATTATTTATATGTTTTCAATTTTCAATATATGTTGTTTATCTAATTCTTTTTTTCAACCTTTTATTTTAAACTTCTTCATATTAATTACCTATTTATTACTCTCTCTATGCACTTTTAATTGTTATGATTTCCTTTTTAGAGTCAAACTATAAGAATTTTAACTAATATTTTACAATGTGTTTTTTCATCATATTCATAGGCAAAAAATAACAATTTATAGTACTTTTTGTATAGATTTTGCACAACTTTGAAAATTAGTCAAATGGACTTTCAAAAAGCGCAACATGACAAATACAAGTGGACGGAGAGAGTATATTTTAGCTACAAAAATATATTAGAGGTACAACTTTTTAAAAAATTTAAATTTTTATTGCGTTGACTCTTGAAATCTTATCATTGTCATATGAATTTGAACAAATTATATATTATTAAAAGTTACATAAAAGATGCTATAAATCACAATAATTAGCAATTAAAAATATTTTAAAATCATATAAGAAATTTGTTGACTAATTGGAATAGAATAAGTAACATGTACTATTTGAAAATAACGTCAAAATTTCTAGAATTCACAATAAATTAACAACTGAAAATATTTATGATTATTCACGTGAATTGAAACATGAGTAACCTATATTATTCAAAACTAACGCAAAAATACTATAAATCACAACAATTTAATAACTTCAAATATATTTTTAAGAAAACATATAAAAAATCGACTGATCTTCAAATTCCATTTATATCACATAAATTAAAACAAAAAAAATTAATAATTATTTGGGCCCTGTTGGCACGGGCACCAAATATCTATATATATATGTCACAAATGGAAAAGTCCCAATCAAGGAAGCAACATATATCATTTACAAATGACTTAAAAAGCATTAAAAATTACAATAATTACCAATTTAAAATATTTAAAACCTATATAATACAATACATTGACTCTCAAAATTCTATCAGGCTCA